GTAGTGGATAGTGGTGTCTGTTGCGTGGCTCAAACGAAATAAAAAATGGCACATGTTTATGCGGATCGGTTTCCCAATCGAGTGCAACCAACCCCTCGTGCCTTTGTTAATGTAGTACAACGGGTTTCGTGAATCATTTGACTTAAGACCTCACATATGGACGGCATGCCGGTGCTCCAAGACCTCACGATCAAATACAGGTCCGCACTGAAATACTTGTCGGGAGGATACTTTATAAAACAAGGTAAAAATTTTTTTTAATTTTTTTTTTATTTTTACATACATATTTTGGTTTATCTTCCTTCTACAATCAATATCTGAAAATTAATGACTCAACTTCAAAGTCACCCTGTATACGTATACGTATTTGTCCGGCATATTTGCTGAAACGCATATATGACCCTCAGTTTCATATTGACAAGTCTTATATCATGTAACGTGATCTAACAGGACAATAAACTATCTATCTATCTATCTGTCATAGGTATGTTGCAGTTTACCTCAGAAATGCGCGACTGGCTTCACCCAAGAATCGCAGAACGTGTTGATCATTGAAAATTTCTCTATTGACAGTTATATAGAGAGGTAAGAATTCCCCTTGACATCAGATTTAAGCGCTAATTGCCTTGATCACATCATCCAAGTAGACATTATTATGGCACGTCTAGGCAAGCAATATTTTTGTAGCAATATTTGGCTATAAATATGACAATATAGATCCATCACGGCCATATTGCAGCATATATCTAGGATATATCAGGTATATGTCAGCTATATTTCAGCAGTATTGTCTTTTGTAGCAAGATTCTTTAATAGCGACCGCTTTTTCCCGAAAAGTAATAAAATCACGACATCTTGTATCTGTTATTTTATTTCCTCATTGTCAAAAAATGACTTCCCAGTAGAGCAGATATTTTTCCATTTTGAATTAAAATTCACGTATTCAGTTTTTCTATATGAATCTTACGAAGCCTTTGACTTTTTATAAATTATTCAAATGCCAATTTCACCCGACTCGTAGGTATTAGTCCATGAGCCCTCAATCTGGATATAAAAGAAAACTAAAGGTTTACGAGAGTATATTTCTCTACAAATGATGTTCTTCAATCACACGATTAATTGTTTTCGAGCAAAGGCCTTCATGATCTATGACCAAATTACCTAATTTCACCCTCGAACCCAAACACTCCGTACATAGTAAACAGCTGCGCACACCGACACCACAGCACGAGGTGAGAGCAGTCTTTCCCTCTAGACCAATTTAATTACGTTAAAAGGTGCCGCCGTGGAGGTTGTGATGTTTAGGATGTAATTAAAGTTTCCCATAAAACTGTTTAAAGTTTGGGTAGTTGACAACCAGTTCAGCGTAAATGCCAAATTTAAAATAATGGCTGCCCACGTTGCGTCCGATTTTGTAATTGTTGAGGAGTTCGTTCTAGTTAAAATGTAGTTACATTTACAGGGATTGATAGGAAAGAGTTTTTCTCTGGTATAAGGTGTTCCAGAAAGAACTGCAAAGGTCCTATGAACCGCTGTGAGAGACAATAACAAATGTGCACTCTTCGTTTTATTGCTCCTATCACTACTAATCAGGTGCCGATGACTTTTGCTACACAAAAAATATGAAATTGGGAAGCACAGTCTTTTTGTAAATATAACTTACTGACTTGTTCCTAAGACATCTTTAAAATAAAATCAAATAGATCTATTTGTTTATCTTGATCTTTTATATAATGTTTGAAGCAACTTACTAAAAGATGTACAACGTTTCCAATTTGGTGAATGGGCGCTGGCAAAGTTGGAGGAAGATCCACATTTTTATCGAAAAATTGTGTTCAGCGACGAAGCTCATTTCTGGTTGAATGGGTACGTTAACAAGCAAAATTGCCACATCTGGAGTGAAGACCAGCCAGAAGCATTGCAAGAGCTACCAATGCATCCCGAAAAAATCACGGTTTGGTGTGGATTATGGGCCGGTGGCAGCATCGGGCCGTACTTTCTTTAAAGACGACAATGGCCGGAACGTAACTGTGAATGGCGAGCGCTACCGTGCGATGATAACAAACTTTTTTTTGCCTAAAATGCAAGAGCTGGACTTGGCCGACATGTGGTTTCAACAAAACGGTACCACATGCCACACCGCACACGAAACAATGGCCCTATTGAGAGGAGAGTTCGGTGAACAGTTTATCTCACGTTTGGGGCCTAGATCGTGTGATTTAACGCCGTTGGACCTTGCGCATGGGCCATCTAAAGCGGTGCCGCGGCCAACATTTACATGAAATAATCTTTAAACATTAAATTATATCGACCGTTCTATCGACTCAAATAGAGATTTAATCGTTTTTTCAAATTTTATGTGTTTTTTTTTAAAATCAAATCCTATACCTCTTAAAAAATCACCCTAGTTCAGCTGTTGGGGGCCTGTAAATGATGCAATGAAACTGACAACATATCGATCGATAAGCAACATTGGAGGCGCAGGGCTTGGAGGGAAGACAAGGGAACGTGTGATCCGTCCTCAGTACAAGTTTGAACTCGCTCGAGTCATTTGGTTGTCAGTAGCGATTTTTTGTTTAACATATTTTTCTATTGTGTTCTAAAAATGAGTGACATCAACTTCAAGCTATACCAAAGAACAATTTCGACTTTTATAGCTTTTATACCCTACAATAAAACAGACGGGATCTCCATTGGCATTTCCATTGATCAGTTGGCTGGCTGCATACTTCAGTGGGGAAGTTCACTTTTTGATTTAAGAAAAAATACAAACTTAAAGAAAAGAAAATATTTATTCTTATCAACATATTCGTAAATTCGGCGAGTTTAATATCATTCACAATCTTCTAATCGAGCACGCAAATTCTGAAACACTCTCTTCCAGAGCTCCGGAGTGATGTTGTTTATTTCTCGTCGAATGTTGTCTTTAAGCTTCTCCAGTGTTCGTCGACTAATGTAACACTTTTTTGCCTCACAAAAAATAATGGCATGACGTGAGGTTGGGTTACCTAGGAGGCCAGTGAATGCCTCCAAACTTCGATATAACTTTTTGAGGAAAAGTACTTTCACCATGACCATCGAATCTCTGGAAGTATGGGCAGTGGCCCCATCCTGTTGAAACCATGTGTTTATGTTAAATCGACGTTCTGTTCTTACAATAAGAGCAAAAAAAAGTGTCAATCATGTCCTTCTATCGCTCGTAATTGACTGCTAATGCATGACCGTTTTCATCTTCGGCCAATAATACCACTAGAGGATATGGCGCATCAAACAGTCACCTTTGGACTGTGTGGCTGTTGTTGATGATTCTGTTTTGGGTTCGTTGGTGGCCAATATTTGAAATTTTGCTTGTTCACATAACCGTCTAAGTGAAAATGAGCCTCGTCATTGAAAACAACGTTCTCGAGTCTGCGCAGCGTAGGAAAAAGATTCAACATCCCTTCAGCACAAGATTTCCGTAATACGTAATCACTTTCCTTTACAGCATGGACTGATTGGATTTTAGTTTTTTCTTTATTATGACATGCAGTGTTGACCTAGGGATTCCCAAAGCAGCGGAATGCTTCCATACATAACGTCGGGGAGTTGCAATGACCAAATCACTTACTCGACGCACATTTTCTTCCACACAGTAGGTGTGGGTTGACTAAGAGTAGAGCCTGTTTCACGGAGCCTCTTAATCCACTTTTTCGATAGGTTCTTGCTTGTGACATCTCGGGCGGCGAATGTTGTATCGTGTACAAAATTTCCAAAGGGCAGCTAATTCAAATTTGAAATGTTAACTCTCCCACTACACAACCGTATAAGAGCATTTGAATAGGATGTAATACTTAGTGTGATAAAATAATATGCTTTGATTCCATCTGGCCGATCTGACACCATGAAAAGTTTAAATGGGTTGTCACGCATAACCTGTCGCTAACCACCCGCAACCCATCACCTGCCACCTCGCAGTATAACCGCTGTCTTAATGTCACTGCCGAGCGTTACCTGGATAAGATGCAAACCTTTGTAGCTCCTAGAATTTTACAACATAGCCTGCTCGAAATGTAGTTGCAGCAGGACGGACACGCTGACTACTGGACGGAAATAGCTGATCGCTCAATCTTTTGGTAGGGTTTCTCACCGGTCGCTGCAGACTGAATAGGCTCTTGTCCCTTCTAAGGGTGAAAATATGCTTCGTCTGCCCAATGTGCTCGGAGGAAGACCAAAGAGCGTTGCAGTTCCTAGATTTCTGCCCCGTATATTGCAACTGAGGGCTGAGTCATGGAGTTTGAGAGCGAAGTCGTATATTAAGCAAAGTGGCAGATATCAGGATATACCGTCATTAGGAGATCAAAAATGTTCGACAGATAAAAACATGTAGGGTAAAATGTTGATTCAGTCGCGGTTGGTAAAAGGGGCCAAAGGTGCCCTACTTGCCGGGGTTCGCTTCCCCACCGCTACCACGTACTACTTACAGAAATTGTAAATGACGTTTTCAGAGCATCTGAACGCCCATTCAAGTGATGCCATCCGGCCACCAAGATCATGAGTCTTAACTGCCACAAGCGCCTTTGTGGAAAGAGTTTTAGAAGTAATATTGGAAAGCTATCCAAATTACTCCTTCCAAAGCTCACCAAAAATGATGGAATCAGTAATTCCGATGTTTTATTCAGTAAAAGATTAAAATAAATATACTGGAGAAACAAATCAGTCAGCTACGAGCCCCTTCCCACTTCAGTTGGCCCACTTCAAGATTTGTACCAAAATATGCCTTCATAAACTAAACATGACGAAACTATTTACTTCTAAAACAATTTATTTTCTCAAAAACGTTTTAGATACACCCTAGTCGTAAAAAATACATATTTGAAATCACTTAGACCTAACATCTGAACAAATAAACAATGTGCGAATAAATGCGCGAAGTTAACAAAGCAACAATCGAAAGATTACCATTGGGTAACATCACCTTTATTTTTTGTTACGGCTGAAATTCTTTGGGGCATAGTGTTAACCAAGTTTTGGCAAAAATTTGGTGTAAAACAATCCCTTATTTCTTGAAGCTTTTGTCTCAGTTCGGTGATTGTACGAGAAGGATGTTGTCGTAGAACCTTTTTCATCTCGTGCCACAAAGTTTCAAAAGGTGACAGATCTGGACTGCTAGAAACCCATTTCAAAAGTGGTACATTACTTTCTTCCATCCATTTTATAGCCTTTTTTGAGGTATGGCACGCTGCACCATCTTGCTGAAACACAAAATCTTGGCCGGATGTCAAACATTCTTCTATCACTGGTAAAAGCGATTCCTCTAAAGTTGCAAAATATTTGTTTGTATCCACATCTCCATCAATAAAATGAAGTTTTCCTACTCCTTTTGAGGACATACTGCCCCAGACCATAATGGATGCTGGAAATTTCACTTTTCTCTTCAGGCAGTCAACATGGAATGCTTCATCTTTTTTGCGAATAACTCTACTGCGACTGTCACCAACACAAACTTCGAATCGGGCCTCATCACTCCATTGTATTGCACACCATTGTTGAGGTGTCCTTTGTCTATGTTCTTTAACCCATCTAAGCCGATTTTTCTTTTGCAATGGAGTTAATAGTGGCTTTTCTTTGGCCTATAAACAAGTTGTGCAACTTTGTTGTTTTTACTTCGCTTTCTTATAAGAAAACTTACCTTGCAAGTGCTAAATCCCAGTTTGCGGGCCTCTCTATGAGTTGTGGACCTTGAAATTCTCCTTCCAACAGCATCAATCCACAGAGCACTTAATTGTAAATAATTGGCACGCCTGTTTTTCACGATTATTCTTCTTAATGCTCTTCGGTCTGCATTTGTGATATTACTTTTTTTCACATATCCTGGCTTAATATTAACTGAACCAGTTACGTTATATCTAAGTCTAACATAGTTGCAATTTCTGAGTTTGATTTCCCAGAATTAAAAAAATTAATTATCAGTAACCGAATTTTCTCACTAATAACCTTTCCTCTACCCATTTTGAAAACCTTTACTGCCCAAAACTATTTTCAACGTATTCTGACAGCTGTAATGAATAAAAAAAATTGTCATGGCTTTTATTTTTCACAGCCACCTATGCGTTATAGATTTATTTTGCATTGAAATGAAAATAGAGTAATAGAGTAATTGCAACATGTGTTATTTTTATGCTGCAAATTTGATTAGGAAGTGATAAAGTTGGTGTTTTCTGCTATATATTATCAAAATGTTCATTGTTAATATTTTAAACCTGTAACACCCTGCTACATTTTTATTATTTGTGTTTGATAAGAAAAAAAACTAAGATTTCAATAGTTGGGCCAACTCAAGTGGGAAGGGGCTCGTATTAGCCACCCTACCCTAAGAATTACGGGTTTTAAAGGTCTTTCTTAGACACCACTGCCTCAGAATGTGGGGTAAGGAGTGCCCAAATGGCTTGCTTTACACAGTTGATTCCCATCTGTGATTTTCAGATGTGTCATAGAACATGTTTGGATGTTAATTTATTTATCAGGTTATTATCAACAACATTCACTAATTGAGTAACGCTCATCGTGAACGGCGCACAGTACAAACACACAAAACATGGTATAAAAAAGTTATAATTCTAATAAATTAACTCTCAGCTAGTCGACATGCAATCATAGCTACCCGTATTGTTTAGCATATTTTTTATGTATTTGTGTGACATTGATGTTATGGACAGATATTTCATTATGTTGCCTTTAGGCGTCATAAACTGTATCAAACACGTCATAAAAACCGTATAACTCGTAAACAGCCCAATTATTATTCCAATATTGCCTTGTCCGTAACTGTACACTGTGCTAATGAACTTATGAAAGCTGGGTAAAAATTTAATGAGAAAAGCGTTTTTCCCCATGTGACACACTTTCGATTTGTCACAACTGATGAATCGTTTTGTCTGTGAAATATATCAGTGGAAATAAAGGACACATAGTCTTTTTTAACAACAATTTAAGTCACATTGATAACAATTAAGGCTTATTGATTAGGAACTTATAAACAGTTGTATAAAAATGTCATGGACGTTTTAATTATTATTTTCAATTTTTACCCCAGGGTACGGTTCTAGTGGCAGAACATTTTGGGAAAACTATCGCTTTTAGAGACAGGTTGATTGAAGATTTGAAGTGAAGCCCGTTCAATTATCATAATATTGTAAATTGGTCTTTGCCAGCTCATAAAAATAACAACGGTTTTCTGAAAAAAACTTTTTCTTGATCCTATATTATTTCACTTACTCAGAAAGTCATGGGAGCCGTTTGAGGCGTACCTGAAAAAAAAAAGTTATATGTAGATATTTATCTAATACTATGACAAAAAAGTTTTCTTAATCTAGAACTAGTGAATCATTGGAGTAGACTGTTGTGGTTAAAAATGTTTGCTAAAATGGATAATGGAAGTTGCTGAAAATCGATACATTTTTCATAGAGGTTCTGGAAAACGATGTTCTAGGTAAAATAAATGACGTCCTTCGGAATCTGGTAAAGTGCTTCATAACGTCAAGTCCTAATTTTAGGTACACGGAGATTCCCTATACACCTTCGGAAAAACCATTATTATACATTATGATAAGGAAGAGAGATGGAAATATACAAAAGTATGTAGGTTCGTGAAAGACACTCGATTGTAGGATAATATCTGGCAGCGTCGGAGTGTGATGGACAACGGGGTAAAGTAGAAGAGTGATAAAAGAGAGATGGCAGAACAGGCGCTGGCGCCTGCCGCTTAGACGGATGCGCTCAACAAATGCGATTTGTTTCTCCCATTCGCAGAGTTGCCGATACCAATATGTCATATTTCTAAGAAATCTAAGTCTACCCAAATTTCGGGAAAAATTCCAACATAAGAGTATTCCAAAAATGAAAAAAGTTCAAACTATTAAAATTGTATTAATGTTTCATGGTTCAAATCATATTTTTCATGTTTGTATATTGTTATATAAATGATTTTGTAATCCTTATTCCTGTTGCCAGTAGAGATACAACAGTACTGAGAGAAATCATGGACCGCTAGATAGGGCTGCAACTACCATATGACTATCAAATAGTAGTGATAAACAGGGTTTGTTTATAGCACAGTTGCCTGGTGTGGCGAATTTGCGCCATAGGGGCGATTTGACAACTTTGAAGGACAACTATAATGAGTACTATGGTGCCCGGTATTCGCGAATCTGGCAATACCTGATGATTCCTAACGTTTATTACGCCAGATTGTTTGCTGACTTGCGCAGTACTACATGACAATCAACGTGACTGAGCACCTGGTAACCCTGGTTTAAGGTGTTATATTTAAAGAGCTTGGGGCAGTTAGGTATCTAGGTCACATTTTTTAGTGTATTTCGAGGAATCCGTAATGTTGAGTAAATACTAGATCACGTTTCTTGCTTAGTTTGCTGAAAATTCTACAGTAGACGTACATTTTGAGAAACAGAGATTTGGTGACGACAAAATCGTAAAAATATAACGCATTTTCGTAAAATAATTTCTTTGTTGAAAAGACTGTGGCTTGATGACCCATTGAACGAGTATAGTGTCCCGCTCCGCTTTGAATATTCGAAACACTATACTCCAGCAGCATTCAGCTTCAATGTTATCTTTATGAAGTTCTAACGTCTAGGCCATGCTGATTAAAAGCTTGAATGAATCAACACTTAACTCTAAATTCCCCACAATTCGGGAAGCTCTACTCAAATTGGCAACACAGCGTATCTGCCTATTATTCTCATTCGTAATACAGGTCCGCGGTCTGCTGCAAATTTCAGTATGCGTTGAGTCGACAGAAGAAGTACAGCGGATGCGCGCATTACGCACCAGTTTGATTGGACGTCTGTGAACCGATTTCGGTGATTTCGAGATTTCACGAAATCACCTAAATCACTCTACTTATTTTTATGAATGGATAATTGGTTTTGTAGCAATAAAGGTTGCGTCTCATAACAAAAATAAGAAGATACCCACTCTAACAAAAAATAGTACACTCATAAAAATGTGTAACGAAAATAAAAAGATATTCTAACAAAAAAATAAGTTCTCAAAAATAAAACGCAATAATGAACACAAATGTTTCAAATGGCCCTTCACAGCTGGGGCTCAAGAACGTCTCCTTCATTCAATGAGTATGTCAGGCGGTTATAAAACTCCTGACGAACTCTCAAGAGGGTAGAAGGCTGTATTTGCCCGAGCGCTTCAACGATTTTCACCTGTAGGTTATGCAAATTGTCTGCTCTCTCATTGAAAGTGTAAACAGTACTTTTCACATAACCCCACAAGAAAAAATCATTGGGTGCTAGATCGGGTGATCTAGGAGGCCATTTTATTGTTCCGTTACCGCCAATAATCCGGTGGCCGAACACACTTTCAAGGTAAGTGTGTACGATCGCCGCATTATGCGCCGGGCATCCATCTTGTTGAAACCAAATATTAGCGAGATCAATGCCAAGCTGCCTAATTGCAGGAGCAATCTGCGTCTGTAGTAACGCCAAATATTTTGCAGCCGTAAGAGTTCCATCAATAAAGAACGGTCCGATAATGTTATTACCTAGAATTCCTGCCCACACATTCAGTTTCTGTGGATACTGCGTGCGGACGGGAATACTGAGGTGTTTATTTTCCCGAGACCAATACCGAACGACTGAAGGATTGTGATGACCGTGGAAAGGGAATGTGGATTCATCAGTAAACAAAATGTTACCAATAAAACTTCCATCCCTGTTCGCCTTCTCCATGACCGTTTCACAAAACTCCATTCGACGGTATTTGTCTACAGGAAATATTTCTTGAACCGTTCCAACCTTGAAGCTATGATAGCCGTTGCGATGCAAAATATTTCTTGTTGTTCTGGGTGTGAGATCGGCTATTGGTACCATTTCAGCAATTTTTCTGCTTGAGCCTGGCTCAGATACTTCTGCAGCGGCACAAACAGCAGTTTCGATCTCCTCCCTTTTCTCGCTAATTTTTGGTTTCCAACCTTCAGGGTGCGTGCAGCTATGGCACTTATGTAAGCAGCCCACCCCTATTATTCTGGATGTACCATTCTATCATTTGAAACTTTTCTTCTTGCGAGTACATTTTTAAGATATTTTGGATTAAATAAAGACGCACCTTTCCTACACGAAACCCAACCGCAGAGTGAGTCATGATTCCCTTATCGCACTTGACGACGGCACGCGCGTTAACGGTAGGAAATATATACGAATAGCGATGAAAGTAGACGAGCCGATGCGCTGTTGCCAAGAAATGATTTCCCATGTATAACAATGGTTTTTCCTAAGGTGCATACAATTCCAATGAGGAATTTCTAAAAGTATTTTCCCCTAAAAGAAAATGGTCATGGGGTGTCAATATGACACCTCCAAAAAATTTAATTTCTCCTTTTTCTACGAATGGAAAAAGTAGAAGTTGCCCTTCGTGTGAGAATTAGAAAGGGACTACTTAATAAATAGATTTCATTCATTGATTTTTGTTATAGCATAGTCACGAGTCACAGATTTTCAGGAACACCCGATGGAACTGACCGAGTTAATGTACCTAATTAGCCAAACTGCTCATCTTAGATATACCATCTAGGTTTACTCAAACTTGCAACCCACCATATGCTTTGAACCGCTTTCCATTCTCCCGGGACAAATTTTCTTCCCCCGCATAGCATCCGCTCTCCATTATGATAGTCTATCGGGGTGTATCGTAGTGCAAAATTCTATCTGCGGCATGTAATTTGCAATTTGCCCGATTTGGTGATTGGACTACGATATTGTTTGCCTATCTAGGCATGGCTGAACGCCACTGCACCACGTCACACTAGGTAGGTATATAGAGTATGAAAAGTGGAGTCACTTCCAAGCGCGAATTTCAGATTGTGAATGAATAAGGTGTGGTTGAGGTCAGGAAAAGTTGAAGGGCTATCCACTGAAACCTAAGACTGTGTTCACGATTTACTTTTTACGCTATTGGTGAGGAAGTATTGTGATATTATATTTTTTTGATGTTACATGACATGTCGATAACGAAAAACCGTGTCACTCATTTTCGTAGGTCTATCTGTCTGTACGTCTGTACGTCTATCTGTCTCTTTGTCAATTCGCCTGAATGTCTGTCCGCTAATCCTTGACGGCTAGCATGGGCATAAAACCTTTGTTCAGTGGCGGCGGAGCTAGGGTAAACACGAAAAAATAAAAGTCGCTTGATCTTTATTTTTTGACATTGCAAAGGCTCCTTATCGTATTCAGGAAAAGAAATTGTAGGGGTTGAAAATGTGGGTGTGGTGAGGGGTATTAGCCATATATTTCCAACATCATATATTTTCGCGTACATTTGATTTTCAAACTTAAATGATAGAGACATTTTTTTCATACGCGTGCTGCTCGACGAGCGTGCCGGTGTGGTTGATTGTTTCCGCCCGCCCCCCCTGTCGCGACTGATGTGTCGTGCGATCAGG